TGTATGTATGTATGTATGTATGTATGTATGTATGTATGTATGTATGTATGTATGTATGTATGTATGTGTAACGTGACCGAGCCGCCTCGCTAAGGGGCCGCGGGGAAGAAGCACTGAAGGGGTTGGCAAGAAAGAGAGAGGGGGGGGGGAAGAGACTGACAGAGAGACGAATGTCCACCTACGCGTAGTTGCTGGAGGAGCAGCCCGGTTTGGAGTTATTTATGGAGTCATGTCCCGTGGCCCGAGGAACCTCCGCCAGCGAGCCCGATTCGCTCTTCTCCGAGAGAGCTGCTCCCGATCGCCCTTCCGCCTCTAGGCTATTTGCTGGTTCTGGTCGGAAAAACGTTCCCAAGTACTTTTTTATAATGGCTTTTTTTTTTTTTTTTTTTACTACCCCTGGCTCTTCCGGGGCCCGAATCAACTCTCCGCTCCCCACGCCCCTCTCATCTGCATATGGACGCTTCTTCCCTCGCTTTCCGACACGCCCCTTTCTTCTGCTTAAACAGCTGCTTTTGGCAGAGCTTTTCCTAAAGTTCCTTCCTCCGCCTGCCTCTCTCTCTCTCTCTCTCTCTCTCCCTCCCCTCCCTATTAAACCCCCCCCTCCCCGATTAAAAGGAGAGGAAAGGTGGAAGTCCGAATACGGGGGATGGTTCTGCTGGAACTTCCTGGAAGCAGCTGGTCGGAAAATCTGCCAGAGATGGGGGTCGGCGGGGGGGGGGGGGCGATGGGAACTGTTACGGAGGGCCCGATCTTTTAATCGTCAACCAGGGATCCTCGAATAAGGGTGGTCTTCAGAGCCAGCAGCCAAAGCCAGCGGACATTCTTGGGCTCTCCCTGCGGAGAAGCGAGCGTTGCAATAGCGCGGAGCTGTAAGACAAAACAGCCAGTCTCGCGGGGGTGGAGGAATGATACTTGTCCCTTCCGAAAGCCTTTCTGAACCTGAATTATGCGGTAATTGCTAAAGTTAGCATTCTGCATCAGCTTGGCCGGTCGGAGCAGCAAGGGAACCTTGGCTTAGAGATTGGATACGGGGGACGGTTGTCTCTTCTCTCCCCCTATTTAATGACTTATTTGTCCAATTTATTCGCCACCCACCTCGCGGTGTAATGCCTTGACTCCGGGCGGCTGACAATGCACAAGGGAAAAAAAGAATCGGAGGCTGAACGACACGACGGGGCATTTTTCTCAGGTAGAAACCAAGCGTAAAATTTCTCAGGGAAGTTCGTAGGGAAAAAAAGGAAGGGGGGAAAACACCCGAGTTTTCGGTCGTTGCGCACTTGCTACTTTGCGCTGTACTGTCGCGAACGTTTGAGAAAAACCCCGATCTACCGACATCAGCTAAACAAATAGATAATACAAGAATGGGGAAGGGGGCACCCCTCTAGGCACATATCCCTCCCTCCCACTCCTCTGTGTGTGTGCGTGTGTGTGTTCTCTACACAACTGAAGTAAGGGACATCTTGGGCCAGAGCACTCAAGGAATGTATGAGGTCTCCGATTTATGACAGATGCGGATATTCCCGGTCATCCAACTCCAAATCCTATTCCGGCGGACTCCCTGATGGCTAACTGGCAAGAAAGGGATGGGGGTGGGATGGTATTCAAAAGCGTCTTAGGACAGGCCTCTAGCGACCAGGGAATAATTAGATCGTAATCCTGACGACAGAAATGCCTGGTACGGAGCTAAACATAAAAACAATTGCAGGGAAGTTGGCTGAAATGTTTCGATTACTTATTTCCTTTAAAAAAGAGTTGCTGCAGGCGCTAGAAAGACCAATGTAATAATATAAATAATTGGGGTACTCTTTACTGGACCGACCTTTCAGTCGGTCGCAGTCAAATCTGCGAGTCAAACAGCTGGCGCATCTTCTCACAGAGAAAGGATAACTCAATTTCAAAACAGTCGCTTCGGCCACTTTCTCGCCCTCCGCATTTATTCTTCGAAAGGTTATATTCCCATCCACCCCGATTTAACAAGTTAGTAGACGGTGGTGAGCGTCAAACAGCAAACGAGGCGAAGAAGTAAGGGACCCCACTGTATTCCAAGTAGGTCACGCAGTTTAAAAAGCGTTTGCATAATGCAAATAAACGGCGCAGAATATATATAACGTTAGGCAAAAGTCTGCTTTAATAGCAACGGTTATCATTTATTAAAGGATTTTTTTTTTACAAAAGCTATAATTAATCTAATTTATTAAGCATTAAGTTTACTTTTAACAAAAAGTTTCCAACTGTTAATGCATACACGGGGGGGAGGGGTCTGGGTACAGAATAAAATACAGATAACTCACTTTTTTCCCCGCTATGTCAAATCTCCAGTACGCAATCATGCAACGGCCCGAGTATTAAAAGAGTTAAAGCGCGGTAATCAAAGGCTTTCTACCTGCGCAAATCCAAATCCTCTTTCAACGTTGCTACTACGCAGGACTTGAAAGGCATGGCAAGAGAGCTAGGTACGGGGCCGAGGCGCCGTGCACAGATGTGCAAAGGTGTCCGTCACGCTTCCAAAGAAAAGATGAAGGAGACCACGGCCGATAAAAAGAGGCGCGGGGGGGGGGGGGAAGAGCAGTAATAGGAGGGAGGGTGCAACGTCACGGGTCCTGACGTTCCAGCAACAGCTGTAGGGCGATTCCAAAGACCTGTGATGTGCGAAGAGCTTCGCCAATCACCGACCGTCTTGGCCGCGATCCTTTTATTTTCCGGCCTTCAGGCTCCCGGAGCGTCGAGCCAATTGGAAAGCTGCTCGGGCGAACGTAAGGCTGCCAGATCTGTGTGAATGAGCTGTGCGCGCGGAGCGGGGGGGATGGGAAAGAGAGAGAGAGAGAGGGAGAGAGAGAGAGAGAGAGCCCGCCCACGCGCCCACAAACGAGGGTTTCTGCTTTAGCGAAGCTAAAAGCTTCCGCTGTTGAGCTCTTCCGAGGCGGGGGATTAAGGAACGATAGGAAGGCCTTTTTCGGGTTCTTCCTTTTCCCGAGAATCCCGAATTTTTGGATTGGGGAGGGAGGATCGCGGTCAGCCAGTCCGAGTGACTGTTTTTCGCCGTAGGGCGCAATGGTGCGCCGCCGGTTAAGGGGCGCTGCCTGAGGCGTCTCCCTAGGTTCAGGACTCGGTGGGCCAAGTGTTCTCGGCAGCTTATGAACTGCAGGAATTGTGCAATAAATAATATAAATAATACAGATTGAACTTTGACGGGGGTTCAGAACCTGCCTTGCACACACACACACATCCGCGCAGCCGTAAAAAAGAGGACAGGGGTGGATGTTGGCGGCAGTATTATTGCTCAATGGGTAAAGATTTACAGGCTCCTCATCGCCCTTCCAGTGGGCTTTCACACACGTTACTGAACTCCGCTTCGGCACCGAAATAATTTCGGTTTGGATCCAAGGCATATTATATGCCATACACAGAGAAAAGGAAAGCGGCGGTTAAGCCAAGCGGCCGCGTCTGTTGCCCACACCGGGCGGTTGCTTAAATCGCATAGCATTCAGGCGATAAACAATGGAGTAAAAGCTGTCCAGATATGAGTTTAGGGGGGGGGGGGGGGGACACCATTTACACGAATGGCGTTTTCAGTCGTTTTTACTACTTTGGACCGGGGCACGCAGTAGCAGATTTAACATCCTTCGGGCGTCTCAGCCACACGGATTGCTTTTTTTTTTTTTTTTGCTGACACCAGTAAGCTTGCCAGCCCAGCTCAGAAGGGGAGTTTGCCTCCCTCCCTCTCCATCTTTCAGCGTTAAATAAAAGCGAAGGCTTATGCGCTCCGCATCCTCTCGCCTTAGTTTTCACTAGCAATCTTGTAAAAAAAAATTAGATAGATAGATAGATAGATAGATAGATAGATAGATAGATAGATAGATAGATAGACAGACAGACAGACAGACAGACAGACAGACAGACAGACAGACAGACAGACACGTTATCCAGAAGTTCTGGTACATTGACATGGAATGAAAAACAGAATCTCCAATGTCCCGCTGCGCGTGTTCAACTCTGCGCTTTCCAAGGTTAAAAAAAAAGGCCGTTTCCTCCTTCAATCACCGCCTTGAGAGCGTCGTAGAAAATGATAAAGGCAATCGGGCATCTTCGGCACACTCTGGGCTCCCTCCCTCGCCCCAAAGGGGATTAGAAACTCCAGCTTGGCGGGGGAGGGGAAGAGTCCTTTTCCGGCAGTTCCCGCTTCCTTCCTTCCCCCCTCCCTCCATTGGAAATGATTTACTTCTTGCAAGGAGCCAGACTCGGAGTAGCGCCTTTAATGTAGGAGAGGACTGTCTCAGGCAGGATCAGTGCTTTCTAACAGTCCCATTCCAAGCTTAAGGGAATTTCTCCCAGAGAAATCGAGCTAGCCTGCTGCAGTACAACTGAGGAGGATCTGCCAACCCTCAAAGACTGGTTGAAATTGCCGGGTCTCTCAACTCAGATTGCCTCGGGTGGCCGAAAGGAAAGCGGGCTCGTGCGCTCGGCAAAGCCTCGCGCGGTAGTCGCGCCGGAGAGTGGCACGCGCTGCCCTCGTTCCTCCCCATTGATTGGCTCCTGCCCATTTGCGCCGCTTCGGTATAGGCTATGTGGCAATGCTGCTCCCTGCCGGCGAAGAGGCCAAGTACAATTGCCGGGGGCTGTTGGGAGCTTCCCTCAGCTTGGCCTCCTTAGGTTTCAAGGTTGGTTTTTTTTTTACCGCTCAAAAATCACCTGAGGGATACAGAATCTTTGAGAAACAATTTATTTATTTATTTATTTATTTATTTTATTTTATTTATTTTATTTGTCAATTGTTTACAAGATAATAAGTACAAGTGTATACATAGTTGTGAATATATGAAATGGGTACATTTAAGAAAAATAAAAGAATAAGAGAAACAATAGGTGATGTTATCCTTTATTTTTCCATTCATTTAAATGAAAGAAAACTTCTTCAGAAAAAGCAACTTAAGAGGAACCCAAAGGTGCTTTTTCAAGAGACAACTGATTTTTCTTTGAAGACGTTTTGCTTCTCATCCAAGAAGCGGAAGCTGAGAAGCAAAATGTCTTCAAAGAACAACCAGAAAGTCCAGTTGCCTCTTGAAAAGGCACCATCGGGACAACCATGACCTGGATGACGGAGAATCTCCATAAACCTGGGGGGGGGGGGGACAGAGCAC